ATTATTTATATCAAGTTCAATCCTTTCGACACAATTTACTAAGAGAATTTTTTTAACTAGTTTTCTAAAAAAAATTTTTAGCTACCTTGGAAACCACCATATGAGCTAATCATGTTTCATCTATTTAATCAGTTAGACTTCGTTTGATAGAATGACTTAACCGAAGATTATGTCGTATTATGTCTGGCGAATATGGCGAACACGAATTTATATTAATGCTTTCTGTCAAATAATCAATAACATCGGATGAGTATACAGTCAACGATGACCATCAAGCAGTTTTGTACATTTTGAACCTGTCGTTTCCGTTTGTTTCCATATTACATTAACAAAAGGCTTCAGATAATTTTCAATATAATACTTGTCTCCTACGATCCTTCCTTTATCTAGACTCTGGACTATTTGATTGAATGAATATACAAAACAAAGCTTTGCTTCAAATCTGTCTTCGTGAGCAATAGTTTTTGACAGTTCATCTTTAATAAGCCATCTAGCATGAGATAATTTATGACTAAACTATCCATAATAAATCTACACATGATCACTAGTACCGATGGAACGCAATCGACATGATCTATCAAAATTTCGCTAAATCTCAAAAACTAATGAAATGTAATTATCTAATGTGATTTTCAATGTAGCTAAAATTTTTTTTTAGAAAAATAGTTGAAAAATATTTCTAACAGATTGTTAGAAAGGATCGAACTTAGTATAAACAATAATAGCAATTATCCTCGACATTTTATAAAATTAAATTAAAAATATATCTTTATCTTTATATTTTATTTAATGTTGCACGAACTCTTGATCAGACTTAAGAAAATTTTTTGTGTATACACCCATAGTAAATTTATCTGAAGAAAATCCACCGAGTATAGAAGTAGTCTTAACGACATTATATTGTCTTATCACTAACTAACCATAAACTATGATTCTCTTTTAACTTATCTTCTCTAGAAATATGCAACCGAATTTCTTTCCAATTTATTAAGAAGGACACTCAGGACAAACAATAATTATGTATATGATCTTCTTCTTCCAATACATTTATCCTTGTTTTCATAACAAAGAAGTGAATCACTTTCCGACAGAAAAGCTTCTTCCAAAACAATTTCTGTTACCTATAGATCATTAATCAAATGATATAGCTCTCGTTTCACCTACAAATCTCAGGTTATTATCAGATACTAGGTTTCATCATTACAAATTCTATTTTTAAACAATAGTAATCTGCGTATGTTTCATTATTGAACTAAAACCGAATTTCCATAATGAAATTCAAATGAAGTCAATAATTAATCTAGTTAAAAATTGTTGTTAATTAGAATAAAACACGTTTATCCGCAATTTATAGCGAAAGGAGATGTTAGCATAGTCTTTGACGTCCACTGATGAGTGTGAAAGATTAAATCAGTTGTCGTTTTGGTGAAATTCAGTTCAAAAACCGTCATTTCAAGCTTAAATTTGATCTTTCATTTGCATATAACAAGTACAAGTACATATGGAAACTTAAAACCAATTTTTGAAAAGCTTTAGAATGATTAAGCTCATCATTCTTAACAATTTTGCTGTTGAGAGTATCTTAAAATTCCTTACGGATTTGGTAAAAGTTGAGTTTTAGTGTGTCCAGCAAAATCTGCTGCGATTCTACATTCACCCCACACGCGTAATGGTGATTCTACATTCACCCCATATGGAATAAATGTAGACAAAAAATTTTTTTTTGGAGCTCTTTTTGCAAGCTCTATAAAAAAACCACAGTCTTGACTTATAATCGTAAGATTAGTTTAGAGCAATAGAAAAGAGTTTGGGCTATCAACTGGTGAAAAAATCACCAAAAAATATTATATTAAACGCTTAAAAATTAGATTTTAATAATTATGTAGAAAATAGCTGAGATTCTACATTCACCCCAATAGTACCAGCGTGATTCTACATTCCCCCCAAATGCGATGAATGTAGAATCGAAAAGTAGCTCTCAAAGAACACCTTGTAGATAGCGATACTCACAAGATTTTGAGAAACGAATTTCACCAGTCGATAGAGGAGAGATTCAGCTAGGTGTCTTGTAGAAGAAAGTTTTTCAAAAAAATGAAACATAAAAAAGTTATAGGCAATATTCGTGAGCTCATTAATTTTTTGTCTACATTTACCCCGACTTACTCTACCAAATTAATAAAACGACGTTTCAGATCTCTATCATACGTCTCTAATAGACAACTAAATATACTATTATTTAAAACTATTAACGGCTATTGAACGCATTCTTATAGCAGAAAAACATGAGACGAAAAAGTGATGAATTATTTTTGCACAATATTGTGGTTTACACATTTCCTTGTTTTATCTTAATTTCATAAACTTCTCATTCAATTGTGAAGCAACTCTTCGAAAATGATATGTCTGACGAAACAACAGAAAAAAAAGGAATATTCATTCATTCGTCGCTATCTCTATAGTACCGGTCATATTCAACATACATTGTCTTCTGTTTTTCAGACGGTTAATATAAAGAAATGAAAAAAAAACACATCCGTCAATTAATATAAAAAAGAGAGCATAGCTATAAAAATGCAGAAATAATCGTTTATATGAATATATATGGCATTGATTACACGTTTCGACGATTTACCCGATCTAGTATTGATCGAGTTGTTCTCATATCTATCGTCTCTCGATATTCTTTGGGGATTTACACATATTAATGATCGTCTAAAAATGTTAACCATGGAACGAGGTCTTTTTTATCATATCAACTTATCACTTGCACGTAATTATCAATTTAACAGAATTCTTCGTTTTCTTCCATTGAATGATATTCAGTCACTTGCAATTGATAGTGATGCATCTCCACTTCAATTAACTCGTTGGCCTTATTTACCTCGTTTGAAAACTCTGAGTATTATTGGTGTATACAATCATAATGATCTTTTGCTCTTTCTTTTGCTTCATGCAGCCACACTCATTCATCTCATTATCAAATCAAATGAAAGATTGGTTCCCGTAAGTGTCAACAATTTTTTTTTAACAAATCCAAAGCTTTACAAAGAAAGGAGATTGTTGGAGCAAATATTGAAAATGCTGAAGGATTGTTCTGTTAGATTAGTTCTTAATGTCTTGAGTCGAAATAAAAAGAAAACTAGTAAGAATTATGCGACTATCAATGGATTGTGTCCAAGATAAACTTTTTCTTATAAAAATATTTCGATCGGAATAGAAATAAAATAAATATGTTAAATATATTATAAAAGAT